GGGCAACAAGAGTGAAACTCTGTCTCAAAAAAAAAAAAAAGGAATGGCCACAAGTGTTAGCATGGCAAAACTGGAAGAGTCTACAGTGTTATCCAGTGTGCTGTTGGTGTTGTTGTAAACAAACAAGTGAAGGACAAGATTCTTGCCAGGAGAATTCATTTGCGTATTGAACATGTTAAGCACTCTGAGAGCCGAGACAGCTTCCTGAAACACGTGAAGGAAAATGATCAGAAAAAGAAGGAAGCCAAAGAGAAAGATAACTGGGTTCAGCTGAAGCGCCAGCCTGCGGACACCAGAGAAGTGCACCATGTGAGAACCCATGGGAAGGAGCCTGAGCTGCTAGAACCTCTTCCCTATGAATTCATGGCATAATAGGTGTTAACAAAAAATATAAGATCTCTGGACTGTGAAAATGTTTCTCTTCATTGAGTAGAAATGTGATGACCTCTCTCCCAAAGAAATACTTAAAGCAAATTTTAATTGTGTCCTATTTCATTCTGCAATGTCTTTACTCTTCAAATTTAATGTATTTCTTGCCGAAAGATGTGAGGTAGCTTATTGTGTAACAAATGATTCTTCCGAGATGACAGAGTATGACTTTCTCAATTGGTTAGAAAACAGCCAGATATTATTTATGAAATATTTGGACTGGTTTGAAGATAGTCCCTCTAAATCATCATGGAAGAAATAAAATAATTTACAAAAAGAAAAAAATAATAAAATGACTATAGACTCACATGAAGTTGCGAAATCAGTACCTAGAGTCCCAGTACCCTTCCTCATCTTCCCTCAAGTGCCGCTACTGATGTAACTGCAGTACTCAGCTAACTCAGGAAACTGACATGGTACCAGCCTGGTAATTAGACTACAAACCTCACTGAGCTTTCGTCAGTTTTGATATGTACTCGTTTGTGTGTGTGGTTCTCTGTGATTTAATCTCACTTGTAGAATGACGGGACCACTGCCACAATCAATATGGGAGTATTTCATCACCATGAGGAAATTCCCTGGGCTACCCTTCACAGCTGCCCCCACCTCCTGCACCCCACCCCTGTCTCTCAGCAACGATTAATGTGTACTTTATTTCTATAGTCTGGTCATTTTCAAAGTGTTATCATACAGGATATGGAATCATACTACAGTATGTAACCTTTTTTTTTTTTTTTAGAAAAAATGTCTATTATTTATTACACTGAACAACTCTGACCACCAGAGACGAATGGGGGGCAGGAGAGAAGAACATCTTGCTTCTCAATAAACTTTCCTTCCTTGTTTAAACATTTTTGAGGATTCTTTCCCAACCTATTACATCTCTATTATAATGGTTACAAATTGTCCAACTCTGCCACTCCTTCCAGTGCATTATTTTTATTATCATCATTGAAGGTGGGAAAAAAAAATAGATCCCTACTTGTAGTAACAAAACAATGTTGGAAACTGTCATTAAATCAGGACAAGTGAAAAACAGATCTGTTCCCAGACTCACAGGATTATAAATTTAGGAAGTACACACACAAAAAAATAAAAATTAATTATACTCAATAAGATACATTAAATAAGGCCGGGCGTGGTGGCTCAAGCCTGTAATCCCAGAACTTTGGGAGGCCGAGGCGGGTGGATCACGAGGTCAAGAGATCGAGACCATCGTGGTCAACATGGTGAAACCCCGTCTCTACTAAAAATACAAAAAATTAGCTGGGCATGGTGGCGCGTGCCTGTAATCCCAGCAACTCAGGAGGCTGAGGCAGGAGAATTG